CAAGGGCTGTGATGAGGGTTCGAACTTACATCCAGGATGATCCCAGATGAGCCTTAATTGACTGCGCCACGACATGGTATAATAATTGCAACCAGGATTGCTACTGCTCTCACATGGATCCCGCAGTCTCTTTGAGACACAAACTGGGGTTTTACATAATTCCCCCCCATGTGCTCGGGCTCTTGTCAACAAGCTGTTTTAACTCTTCGCCCTCAAGAGGGCAAAGAATTTGCGTAACTGAAGTCAACTTGGTTTTAGAGCAGGAATATATTGTTTTGTAACTACTGTACTTTATCATTACAGTACATGGAAAATACAGGTATCATAGATACAGATTTTACAAAAACTATTTGATGAATGTAACTATGTAGTAATAGCTCATATAAAAATGAAAGCTCAGAAAATGACAGTCAAAATCCAACTTGAGCACTGTACGAAACTCGTTCCCACGGGGTATGGTCCTCAGCCCATCACTCATTGTCATCCGCATAGAAGACATAGACAGGAATGCAACTCAAAGTTTTATCATCTTTCACAGATAACACTTAATTTCAATCTGAAAATTTCAACAATGGAAGGCTCAGAAAAACTGCAGTCAGAAATCAACAAGGTCTTCCAATGGACAAAAGAAATCATTATGATGTTCAACATTGATAAATTTTAATTACCCGGAAATAACTTCAGTATGGAAAAACTGAAACCTAACAGAAGTGTCCAAGTCAGAGATTTTGTAATAATGTAAGAAGTTCTAATGTTTAGAAAACAAAGCTAACATAGCAGAAGCCAGGGCAGTAATATGATAGATAATGAGAATACAGTATTCAAAACAAGGGATGCCACACAAATAATGGTACAGTATTCTTCAAAAAACTGATGTTGTTTTGACTGGAATATTAAACAGTCCTCACATCACATTTCAAGGCAGGCAAGATAACAGGATTAGCAAATATATAGAGACCCTGTACTGCCCACATTTATTTAGTGGGACATTTACTGGAATTGCTTAAAAGCATCCAAATTGTTCTCCTTGAAATGGAAAAATAAAGCTATACAGTATCTTATATGTACAGTACTGTGCATGGAAAATACTGGAAGATCAGATCTTAAAGCTACACAATGAAATTCTAACATTATGTAGTGAGAGATTTGATAGGAAGTGTAAAATAAATCCAATAATAGGTCAGGAGTGTGCTTTAGGCATGATTGAAGAATGCAATTGTAAACATCAGAGGTCCACAGATCTTCAACCTCCTGGAAATAAATATAAGAAAGCTCAGGAAATGTGGTCTGGTCAACATACTTCAGCTACGTTATTGTGACTCATCGCCTGCAAATATAAGAAATATCACTGGAACAACAATAGAAGCTTTCAAGAAATAACTTTACAAGTTTCTGCTGGAGTTTACCAGATCAGCCTGGGTGTGATGACTGCAAGCTACAAAGATAAACAGTCTCATAAACCAGACAATCATGAGGCAAGCTTGGCCCTAGACCAACTTTGGAGAAGAGCTATTGAAATCATCTTCAGATAAGTTAGTGTTGGAAAGTTCATCATCTCATTTTCCTGCATTACAGATTCTATTTTTTCAGCTAATAGGATTTACTTTAAAGAAATGGTGTAAGTTTTCTCTACAGTGCACAGCATATCATATTGCCTTCATACTAATCAAAAGTTCCTGTTGCTTACCCCCATTTCTCATTGCTGACCATTATCAGCATGCAGATAGCAGGAATTGTATGGAATGAGAATATGACATTATGAGAACCTCTATAGTGCTGAATGTAATTAACAACTATACTGTTTATGAAGGTCAAACAAGATGTTTCACTATTTCAGTAGCTAGAAAGTGATACAATTAATCATATTGCATGTGGAATGAGAAAAAGTGGCTTTTTAAATTTCCAGTGCTATATTTGGTTCTACAGTACTTGCATTTTGTGCAGTGGAATCAAATAAAATTCCCTGTATATATAAAGGCTGTATGGAATACTGTAATACAGTACCACACTATATACCATTAGACATCTGAGTGCATCTAAAGACAAGATCTAAGGCAGCATATGATGGAATCAAAAGTAACAAATGACAGAATTTTGACTTGATAAATGAAAGTGTATAAATAAATGTGGTTTTAAATACCAGGTGAATATAGTCATGTTTGAGTTTGATTTTGAAATATCAGCAACATCCATGAAGAAAATATAGAGTACTAGTATCTTGCAAGCATGTGGAGTTAGGAAGATATCCTAATTTCTTCCAATTTGCAGTACTTGTGAATTCTACCTGAATCTTATGCTGGGGAATCTACTACATTTTCTTGATTTTGCGAAGTGTATGTGAAGGCCATCCTCTTATGGCATGCTGTAATACAATACTTCTGTAAATAGCACCTGTGTGCAGTCAACTTGTGACAGATTTAAGCTTGATAATTTATGATGAATTCAAAAGTATCAAATGCAGAATTTGACTGCTGATGAATTAAAATTGCTTAAATAGATCTGGGTTTAAGTATCAGAAAAACATCATCTTGTTTGTGTTTGATACTGAAATGTTGGCAACAACCAAGAAGAAATGTCAGTACAGTATCTTGCAAGTATCTGGAGTTTGAAAGAAGCAAAAGGTTCTTTCAATAATACTGTACCTAGTGTTACCTGCATATTGTGTTGAGGAATCTATTACAGTTTTCAGAGTACAATTCTGTATAATTGTTAATGGGTTAGGGGCAGCAACAGTACAGAACTGTATTTACCCCATCACTCCAGGCATAGCTAGTGTGTGCTGACGAATGAGCTGCACTGATTACCGACATCTATGTTTAGCCTGCAGGAAGTGGAACATCAGATACAGGGGTGTCATAATAAGATTCCAACTCCAGGCCATGGCCATTGAGGAGAATGGGAAGCACAAGACAGGAATTTTGGATGCAATACAAGTTGCAGTGGAAAAAATGTCAGTCTAAGCAGCATGGAACCATGGACAGTGCAGTACAGTATGTGAGGTGCCTGAACTTTGTCCTTTAGGATGGAATGTTCTGTGATATGTGCTGTACTACATAGCATCAAATATCTGTGTATATTCAACTCATGATAGTAATTTTCAGCTCATTAGTAACAAATAAAGAAATGAATTTGTTGACAAAAAAGTTAATAAATTTTGTGGTTTTTAAATACAGTATTATAAACATATTATAATACATTATTTGATATTGAAGTATTAACACAACAACCATGAAGAAATTGACAGTTTTTTTATCTTAAACAGTCATTTGGTGCATCCCATTAAATTGGAAACTTTTAAATTACAACGGAGTCCCAAATAAGAGGTTGTTTTGGAACCTGAAATATGATGGAGTGGCAGGAAAACTTCTGACATGGATGAAAATTTTTCTGACAAATGAGGGCAGTAGTCAGAGGCAGTGTATCAAACTGGGGAAATAGTACTAGTGATGTACCACAGGGTACAGTGGTACATCATTATTACACCAGTACATTACGTGCACCATTAATATTCAACGTCTAATGATCTCTGAGAGAGAATACAGAGTTGCATGAACATGGGTGGTGATGATGCCAAGCTACTAGGGAAGATCATAGAATTAGACAGTTGTCATACCCTTCAAGATTACCTGGACAAAATAAGTACCGTATATGGAGCAACACTTTGCAAATGGAACTAAATGTGAATAAATGCTATGTTGTGGAATAGGAAAAAATGGCAACACTCGACCTACAAACTGTGAAAAGGCATTTAAGGACTCTGATAACGAAAGAGATCTAGAGGGTTTTGTATAGTAAATTCTCACCAGAGGAACACACAAAGGACAATGTTCAAGGAGCCTATACAATACTTTTCAACTTCAGAATCGCTTTTAAATACATGGATGGTGAATTATTAAAGAAATTGTTCATGACTTGTGTGACCAAAATTGGAATATGTAGTGGTTTTATGGTTTCCATATCTTAACAAGCACATCAGTAAACTGGAAATAGTGGAAAGACATGCAACTAAATGGGTTTTGGAACTGAAAACAAAATTATGAGGAGAGGATAGAGGTGTTATATAAATGTCAATGCTATAAGACAGGAAAGAAGTGATATGATCACTACAAAATAAGGTAATAAAAAGAATTGACAAAATTGAAGAGAAATACTTGAAATCTGCAACTTCAAGTTACAGAAACAAAGGTGTCAAAAAATATTAGAAAAGTTCTCTTTTTTGCAAACAGAGTGGTAGACAGTTGAAACATGTTAAGTGAGAAGGTGGTGGAGGCCAAAACTGTCAGTAGCTTCAAAGCCTCATATGACAGAAAGTACTGGGAACACAGGACACCATGAGCACAGCTCTCATCCTGTAACTCCAGTTAGGTAATTACGAATCTCTGCCCCTCCATGTATCATCACTTTCTTTTGCCTCTTCTTTTACCAATAAAGTCACTTCGTAAAAAGCATAGTCAGACAAGCAGGACAACTCCATCATTCAAGGGAAATGGAAAAAATATGTTATGGTGTATTATTTTATAAAAAAAAATAGATTTTTGATGATTTGAGAACACAATTCCCATACATAGCATTTTACCAATGGAAAATATAGTTCGAAGTTCTGAACAGTGGACTTAAGAACACCTTTTCTGAACACATCTTGTTCATAAGTTGGGGCCCACCTGTATAGTCTTTGTCTTTGCCATTTACTCTCTGCACGTTACAATTTTGTAACACTCAAAATTAAGTGTTTGAGTAACAATTATTATATTGTTTACATAAGATCAATACAATAAATAATAATTTATGTACCTCACACCAGACACTGGTGAAGTGTACATCTTTGAGGAACACAGGCATTCATGAACCTATTTTATGGTAAAGTGTTGTATGGGATTCTCTAAATTATGACATATGCTTGCAGTTTGGAGATGGGTGGGTGTTGATACTTGGTTCCTCAGTGTACTTGGCTCTGGTGATTTTGATGTTTTGCCTCATACTCGCCCATCACTTTCTTGCAGGTCGCACAGGTTTGAGCGGACTGTAATCTTTGGCAAAGTATGAAGACTAAGTAAGTACTTGAGCCTGGAACAACAGCAATATCTAGAGTGTGTACAGCACTTGGTTGACCCAATGAACTTTTGGGCATTCACAAGAGGTGCAAGTATTGGCAAGAGCTTGAATAATAAAAACTTGCAAATGTTTATAGAGTACAGTACAATATAAAAAGTGAGAAAGGAAAGTAGAAAGTTCTACAGTACATACTTTGTCGACAAGTCTTACATAAGTCGATGCTTAGAAGATAGAATGACCATAACAAGAATGGTATACTAAGATTTCTGTCTTGGAGAAGTATAGAACAATATTAACCACAGAATATGCCAAAAAATTCATATCTTCTGGATGGGTTGTCTGGGATGATGAATGCTTCCCTTAGTACATTGACATAATCTTCAATTGGATAGTGAGATCATCAGAATAATACACTTCATCAGATTTAAAGTAGATAAGACGAATTATATTCCATCCTTTAGTTTCTGTGAACTTTGGGTGAGGATTATACACTTTCTAAGATGCACAGGGGCACAAGGATGTTTGGGACTTCCAGAGTGTTTGACGACTTAAGGATGCAGGATACCCCTGGAATGTTGGGTAGTTCAAGGATTTTTGGAGATTCTAGGATGCAAGAGGATTTTACTTTCATGGAAGATTCACGGATGCCAGGAAACCCAAGACAACATGGAAGCTTACGAATGCAAGGTGAGGAAAGAATGTATCCAGAACCAAGAATGCAGGAAGATTTACGAATACCAAGAGATGCAAGAATGTTTCCAGAGCCAAGACTGGGTGGAGAAACTAGGATGCAATTAGATTCAGTATTTCAAGGAGGAAGTTCTAGGATGCCCGATCATGCTGAAATGTATTCAAGAATGCAAGGAGAAATGGGAAGACCAGGTGACATGAAAATGCACCCAGACTCACAAACTGAGGAAGACCTAAGAATGTATCTAGATTCTCGAATGCAAGAGCAACCAAGAGATGAGTCGGATGAAAATATATATGACTACAATCACAAACCTCTCACTGGACTTCCCAACATCAGTGGGCCTAGTTCTCATTCTCACACAAGAATGAATTCTCAAGATGACATTGGTCATGGGAGGAGTGGGTACTTATTGCAATCAAAATCCACTGGTCCAGATTTACCTTTCAACTCGGCAAGTGAAAGTATTACTTTAAAAAAAAATGTGGACTTTATGTTTAATGCAACGAAAGGTTTCAATCCAGCAAGGCAACATGGTTCAAGTCATATACTTACACCAAGTTTAACGCTGACAAGTGGATCACAAAATACCGATGGAGGAAGGGGATTGGAAACTAGAGGACCACAACAACAGAAAAAATGTTCGAAGGCATTTGACTACCTCAGAGAATGGAGAGTGAAGATGAATTTACCAACAGATGCATTCATGGTAGAGAGAGATATACCAACATCTAACCAACAGCATATTAATACACCAGTTAGCTCTTCTATTCATCATCCACAAAGTGATATCTACACACATGATCCAAGTACCTCAAATACAGCTTTAAAACCAATGGGCTGGACTTTTTCAACCAGTTCATTTGCTGAAGGAGACACACACAGAGAGAGGTCTGGAATTGGTTTTGATGAGCCACGAGGTGATATTCAATCATATACTAAACCACAAAGCTTTCGTGGTAGGCAGTCACAGGAAAATAAAAGAATGGATGGTTCAACATGGAAGTGGGGTTATGAAGCATCAATTAATCAAAGCCCTGGCAGAAAAAGACATTCTGATACATTAGAACAGCCAATGTATCATGAACGGGATTTTTCTGTGCAGCCGGGTTCACCAAGAGCTAAACGACCTCACTTATCCCCACCATTTACACAAATGGGTAGAGATCATTCAGAACATTTTAGGGACACCCATACAGGTTATGGGATGCCTCCCCAAAGTAAAACGCCTGTTTGTGATGAGCAATTAGTGGATTTTAAAGTACAAGACATTACAAATTATTATTCACCAAATAATGCCTCTGGAAATTGGAAATTCTCTCCATCATTTCCCAGGAAACATTCACCAGATTCTGGAAGGTTAACAAGGGCTTCTTTTGAGATGACAGATCCTAGTCGGTCTTTAGGACATAGGTCACATTCCTTAGAGATGAGAAATTCTTCAAATAGAGGCAAATCACTACAGATGTATTCACAAAATAGTCATGAAAAGTCTCAGGAACTGACATTGAGAGATAGATCATTTAGATCTCTTGCTCCAGGAAGATCTCCAGGCCCACCCATGATGGGACATTCTCAAGGTCCAATAACTGGAAGACCTCCAGGTCCACCTATGAGAGGAAGGTCGCCAGGTCCACCTGTGAGAGGAAGGTCTCCAGGCCCACCTATGAGAGAGAGGCCTCCAGGCCCACCTATGAGAGGAAGGTCTCCAGGCCCACCTATGAGAGGAAGGTCTCCAGTCCCACCTATGAGAGGAAGGTCTCCAGGCCCACCAATGAGAGGAAGGTCTCCAGGCCCACCTATGAGAGGAAGGTCTCCAGGCCCGCCTATAAGAGGAAGGTCTCCAGGCCCACCTATGAGAGGAAGGTCTCCAGGCCCACCAATGAGAGGAAGGTCTCCAGGCCCACCTATGAGAGGTAGGTCTCCAGGCCCACCTATGAGAGGAAGGTCTCCAGGCCCACCTATGAGAGGAAGGTCTCCAGGCCCACCTTTGAGAGGACGGTCTCCAGGCCCAATTATGAGAGGACGATCTCCAGGCCCACCTATGAGAGGACGGTCTCCAGGCCCACCTATGAGAGAGAGGTCTCCAGGCCCGCCTACGAGAGAAAGGTCTCCAGGTCTGCTAATGAGAGGAAGGTCTCCGGGTCTGCCTACGAGAGGAAGGTCTCCAGGTCTACCTATAAGAAGAAGGTCTCCAGGTGCACATATGAGAGGAAGGTCTCCAGGTCCACATGTGAGAGAAAGGTCTCCAGGTCCATCTGCAAGAGGAAGGTCTCCGGGTCCATCTGCAAGAGGAAGGTCTCCGGGTCCATCTGCAAGAGGAAGGTCTCCGGGTCCATCTGCAAGAGGAAGGTCTCCGGGTCCATCTGCAAGAGGAAGGTCTCCAGGTCCATCTGCAAGAGGAAGGTCTCCAGGTCCATCTGCAAGAGGAAGGTCTCCAGGACCATCTGCAAGAGGAAGGTCTCCAGGTCCATCTGCAAGAGGAAGGTCTCCAGGTCCATCTGCAAGAGGAAGGTCTCCAGGTCCATCTGCAAGAGGAAGGTCTCCAGGTCCACTTGTGAGAGGAAGGTTTCCAGGCCCACCTGCGAGAGTAAGGTCTCCAGGTCCACCTGTGAGAGGAAGGTCTCCAGTATCACAGATGAGAGGAAGATCTCCAGGTCCACATACGAGAAGAAGGTCTCCAGGTCCACCTGTGAGAGGGAGGTCTCCAGTTCCACATGTGAGAGGAAGATCTCCAGTTCCACATGTGAGAGGAAGATCTCCAGGTCCACCTGGGAGAGGTAGGTCTCCGGGTCCACCTGGGAGAGGGAGGTCTCCGGGTCCACCTGGGAGAGGGAGGTCTTCAGGTCTACCTGTGAGAGGGAGGTCTTCAGGTCTATCTGTGAGAGGGAGGTCTTCAGGTCCCCCTGTGAGAGGGAGGTCTCCAGGTCCCCCTGTGAGAGGTAGATCTCCAGGCCCACAAGCTAGAGGAAGGTCTCCAGTTCAGCCAGCTAGAGGAAGATCTCCAGGTCTACCAGCTAGATCTCTCGGTCCATCTGGAAGAGACAAATCTTCAGGACCCACTAGAGAGAGAACTCAAAGACTATCTACAGGGCAATCATCAGGTCTATCTCAAAGAGGTAGATCTCCAGGTGTTTCTGTTAGAAGATACCCAGGATCAAATGTAGGTGGAAGATCACCACATATTGAGTCTGCAAAACACTTTGGACAAAAATTGACTGATAGGTCTCCTCTCTTAGAAGAAGTTTCATTGTCACCAAGATCCAGTAAATTTTGGTCTCCTGGAACTAAATTGTCACAAGATTTAAGATCTCCTCAAATAAAGCAGAGGAGGAATTGGTCATTGTCACCTGAAAGTCTTCATAGAGGATGCTCACCAGTCTCACCACAGTCTGTAATGAACTACACAGGAGAGGTGAATCCCTTCTCCCAAGATAAATTTAGTTCTGGATCACCAAGAACTTTGAAACAGTCTCAGATGAGCAAGTCACAACATCGTTCTCCACATTTACGAGGTTGCTCTCCTGTCTCACCTGAAATTCATTCAAGATCAAAGTTGCATCATACACAAATAAAAGGAAGAAATAGCCCCAGCAGGGGTGGAGGGAGAATTCCTGAAACACAAACGAAAAGCTCTGAAGTTGAACAGTCTGAGGAATGTGATACCCTCAACATAAAAAAGTGGGATGAACTTGAAATAAGTCACAAAAGTAGAGATAGTACAAAGAGTAATAATAATAAGAGGGAATGGGCAAGAGAGAAAAGTAGTAACATTCTTATTCCTCAAAATGGAAGTAAAAAACCTACACAAAATGTACAGCGTTATGTTGATGAGGATTCAGGAAATGTTAGACCAGCTGGGGAATCAAAGATGAACACTGAAAGCACACCAGAAGAAAAGTGGAAACCGAAAAGTAAAGAAGAGGAAAATGATGAAGATTTACGAGTTCACTTGTTACGTCTTCGAGAGCAAAAGGTTGAACAGAAATTAAAAAAACTGGAAGAAGAAAGTATTGAAACAGAATTCATGTTGTGGAAAATACAGAAGAATAAGTCATCTTTGAAAGATAAAAGTCCAGGTGGAGAGAATAAGAAGTACATAGATGATGATGATGATGACTTTCATCATTCTAGTGGAACAGGTGGTATATCTCCACATTCTTTGAAGCGTCAACGCTCATCTTCTCCAGCTGGACGCAATGATAGGCGTCCAGTACAGCGCCCCTTCAGGAAACCAAACAGATTCTGAAAAATATACCTGTAGTACAAACAAGTGATGCTTATGCTTAGCCAGTTGCCATCACAACAATTCTCAACTTTACTAGAAAAGAATATAAAAGATTTATACATTTGTTAGTGATTATGTTGATTGTTTTATAACTGAAAATGATGAGAAAACAATGAAAGTGATACAAGTTGAAATATGTTGAGTAAGTTACTAGTGAAAGTTTGAAAAACAAAATTAGTGTCTTGAAATATTTTTTACCCTTACTATCTGTACATACTAGTATTAATTTCCACTTGTGCATTGAACTTGAATAAAGTAACATTCATATATGTTTATATTTATTGAAGAGTTTTAGGCAAAAAGAAAAATTAAACAAAAATATAAAGAATAATGAGAATACAGTGAATATTAATTAATATAAGACAGATGTTGGTGGAATTTGTGCTGGAAATAAATGATGCTGACGACATCAGGACACACGCCCACATATGCATGCACACATGTATTTACTGGTCAATTAATGGTCAGAAGGCTGAGCCGAGGCACTGAAGCTCACTCCCCATAAAAACCGGCAAGTACATGTGTATGCAAATCGATCTTGCAGAAAGCAGAAGTACTAGTATACATACAGATGAACATAAGCACCAGAACTCTTATATTATAAGAAAAATGTCAAAGTAGAGAAATGCACAGGATTGAACTCCAAATAATAGTTCAGTGTCAGAAGAAAAAATATGTAGATCAAAGATGAAGATTACAGTAGAATTAGCATAAGACAGCCTCTATTGGTTTAAGTTTAAATGAGGCATCTGTTAGTGATTCTTGCTCATATGGGAGTAACATCAATATACATCAATTTAACTGCCATTCAGGGTTGGTCAAGTAAGATTTTATTTATTGAGAGTTTGCTGAATACAAATAGTTCAGTGAATAATGTGAATCTTGGAACAATTTGTCTTTATGATTGGCCCAGCCAAATAAATGGCTAGGCATAACCCTATTACTGTACTGTGTTAACTACTGGTAAGGCAACAGTCTACAGAACAGTTTGACGAAGCTCATCCTCCTTATAATTAGCAGTGATGTACCCGAATCCTTTGTACTGATGCTGGTGTTTTCAAGAAAATAATTATACGAAGTGTTGAAATTGGGAGACTGAAGATTGACATACTGGAAGCTTAGGTTAACATTTCTTGTACAGTGGACAGTCAACTGCACATTAATTTAGTTTACTTAACACCATAAGGAAGTGCAAAGGTGATCAGAAATTGAGAGTACATTACTTCTTAGATTCTTACAATAAAGTTTTGCTTATTAGAGAAACTTTGTAAAATGTTTTGTTTTATTCAATTTAAAAATTGTGATGTTTTACTTTAAATATTTTTTGAGTGATACGTCATGTCCTACTGTCCAGTTTTGAAAGAATTAATGTTATAGTTGTTAGGAATTATATTGCATAATGCACATTAGTAATGGCTGTGTAAAAAAAATCACAAGTAAAATTTTGACATTTTTATGCTCAAATTTCACAAAGTAGTATACATTTACATAGACATCCACTTCAAATGGTAGGTAGTTGTCATGATGTTTGATTGTCAAGTGCAGTGCAATTTACTCAAATCTCTACCTGTAATACAGATGACACAAAGGTAAGTTTTATTTACTAATTATTCTACAGATTGTATATCTTGCAGTGAAATTGCTGTATTTTTGCATAATTTCTAATTTGAGCCACTTGTATTTCTAGATACTGTACTGTACTGTATATGTTTGAGTGTGCATTACTTAGTCAAGGCTAACTCCATATGATCTTTCCCAATATAAGACCCCATCTGCTTCAGGTTCTTCTTTCACTCTCAGATTATGATTGGTTAACATTTTATATACAGTATCTTTGACTAATGTTCATGACTTTGTTATAATTTAGGTTTTGCATAATGTTTATATTTTTTTTTTTTATAATAAGTACCTATTATTCAGTTTTTCTAATAGGTGATTGTGTAAAGAATGTTCTTTCTTTTTCCTCAAAATTAAAATGTTATAATTTATAATGAAGGTTTTATTGGCTCATTTATTGTGTAATGTACAGTATATCGTAACTCATAAATTTGAAGCTGTATTTAAAATTTCAGAAAACTCTCAATTTAAATACTGTAATAGATATATATTATTGTGATTTGAAATTTGAATACTAAAGAATTAATGTGACCATACGAAACAGTAGTAAAGGTTTTATGTGTTGAAGGATTTATTATACAGCTGTATTGTATGTTATTGAGAGCTGTAATATGCAAAAATATTTTGTGTATTTGTAGCTCATTTATTTCAGAATTTTTTAATGATATCTTATGAGAAAATAAACTACAAATAATACATTGCAGGTACTTGTTAGTAGATTATTTTGAAGTTACAGATGATCATATTCCAGCATCAGCGTTTATTTTTCATGTGCTTCAGTGATTTGTACAAAAGTCTGTGTATCTTTTTCTGTAAATAATTTTTAAAAGTAAGTCAGTCTGTTAGTGATAGGCTACCTTGATTTCATATTTTTCAAATGTTCCCACCAGGATAATAACATTGATATCAATTAATAAATATAAAATGTATTCAGAAGTGTATTGTCATTGTAAGTGTAAAATTTAACATTAATGCAAATAAACCAAAAGAGAGCTAGAACAGTATTTGCTTTTGAGCCTGTAGTTATTTTGCAACTCATTGTAGTATAATATCATATATTTTCATAATGTTGAAATGACATCACATCTAAGCTGGAAATCATATATGGTTAATAAATAATTTGTGATGAAAATTTATATAGCTTATTTAATGGTGGCTTTGATTAACTGAGATCTATGCCTGTTTTCAGGACTAGCAATAAAGTGTTTTAAAGTGTTCTCTTTGACACTAGAATGGGAGTGTTTACAAAATTGTGAAAAATGTCAATGTGAAAAAGTTATTCATATGCATATACTGTACTGTACTGTAAGACAGTGATAGAAATTGTGTATAAATTTATTTGATAACATATGCGGTTTCACAACTTCTTTCATTACCAGTAATTAAAATTAAAGTCTGTGCAGTAGTTTCACAAGCATTTATTTAATTATAAAGATTTTTTTGAGTAGTACCATGGAACACCTATTATGCAGATTCATGTTTTCCATATGGATATCCAGACAAATTTCTGGTTTTCAACCCTCATTAACTAGAGCATTTATGGATAATGGGGCTTTAACTCCCAATTTCCATGAAATTTTAGTGCAATTCAACACCTAAGGACACATACCAACTAACACCAAATTTTAATTGTTTTCCTACATATTCAATAATGCATTCCATTTTAAATGAAATGCAAGCATTTTGAACCCATTTCTGTTAAACCTTAGGCTGCTACACCTATTTTTAAACTTTTACCCATTGTTGAATTACAGCCAAAAAAAATGTACAGTATTGCGAACATAGCATTATTTTTATACTGTTAAGTTAGAGGAAACAGTTTAGTTTGCTTTTTCCAATATATATATAACTTGGGTAATTACGTGATAAACAATGTGAATATAATTATATATATATACATTATATATATATATTATATTATATTATATTATATTTGCATTGTTTATCACGTAATTACCCAAGTGCAATTAACTAAATTACACTTGGTTAACTTCTTCGTGATTTACACACACATGCCCCTAGAATGCCAACAACAAAGATGGCCACCACCACAGGGGAAGACAGCACACCAACAAATTAATGTTTTGAGGATTCTCAGTACAAGATATAATGAAAGGTGGTTTTCTTGGTAGGTTAGTGATTATGAGGACATGCTAAAGAATTATGAAGAAAAGGTAATTAAATTAGAACAAGAAATGGAAGGTCTCAAGATTGAGTTTTGTAATTTAAAAGGAAGTATTTTCCAGCAAGGAAAGGAAATTACCAGCTTGACTAATAAGGCAAGGGTACAGGAGGAACACATCAAGGAACTAGTAGTAAACATAATGAGGCATGGACAGTGAAGAGTGGATGAATTTGAAGAAATAAACAAGAAAATGCTCATATGGTGAACAATTCCAAGGAACTCTGAGGGCTTACATGGAGTTAGGCAAGGATATGCAAGGAGGAACTTCATTGACAAGTCGCATAGAGGAAGTTAATAAAGAACTAGAAAAATATAAAGAAGAAATAAGAGAGACATATGCGCAAGTTGTAAAAGAGAAAGAGACGGTCAAGGAAGTGTGTTTGGAAGTCAGAATCAGAAATGACAAACAAGAAGCGGAAATCAGGCAAGCAATTAGGAAAGAACTGGTAACCAACAGTAAACTAGTTCAAAACACTACAGATAGAAGTAAGTCCATAATAATTTTCGGGTATTTGAAGAAGGAAATTTCATCTAGGGAGGACAGAGCAGCAGAAGAGATGAAAATCATAGAGAAAATAGTAAGATTAGGAGGTCTAAATTCCAAGGAAATTGTCTGATTTTTAAAATAGGAAAATATGAAGAAGACAAGAACTGCCCCTTAAGGGTGATGTTTAATGGAGTGAAACATGACAAGTGCTTAGAAATGCCAGGAAATTGCAATGTGATGGCGATGGCAAACTTTGGTCAATAAGACAAGACCTCTCAAAGGAACACAGAGAAAAGCTGAAATTGAATCTCATTGAAGCAAAACGTCTAAATGGGGATAGAAACGAAGAAAAAATTAGTTTTTCTATAAAGTGTTAGGGACTGGAAAGCTAGTGAAATGGTACATAAAAACAAAGCAACAAAATCATTAGAGGAAGGGGAAGGAAAGAACAAAGGGAAGGGAAACATGTTCCTGAAAATAGTATTTACCAACATAGATGGGGTGAGATAAAAAATATTGGAGCTGAATGATATAATTCAGCTTAAGGTACCAGATATTGTTGCACTAACAGAGATGAAACTTGAAAAAATATTTTAAACGAGGTCATATTCTCAAGGGGTTACTCAGTTTGGAGACGTGACAGGAAACTAGGAAGGGGGAAGGAGTGACTGTGCTGGTGAAAGAACACCTGAAGGTAAGAGAGTTAATACTTGACAATTGTAAATGCCTGCAGCCCACCAGCAAGCAACACATGGACAAAGGAAGAACTAGATGACAAACGAGAGGGCCTAATAATGGTCACGAGAGAGATTATAGTAAATGCAGATAAAGATAAATCATGATGGTATTGGGGGACTTCAACTTTAAAGCAATAGAATGGGAGGCTTGTGAAGCAAAATCGGAGGGCGTTGGACAGGCAGATTTGTAAATCTCATTTTGGAGACCTTCATGTGTCAACACTTCAAGCAGGCCACAAGAATGAGGGAAGGCGATGTTCCGTCAGTACTGGCTCTAATATTCACCAGGAGAGAATAGATATTTGACATCCAGAACCTCCCTTTCTTGCGAAAGAGTGATCGTGTCCTGTTGGACATGACATATGCTTTGAGATATAATCTAGAAGAAAATTGAGACATTGAAACAGTTGTTAAACTTGATTTCAAGAGATGACACTATGGGACCCTTAGGAAATTTTTTAATGAGTATAATTGGACAGACGTGTTGCTAGGCAAGGAAGTAAATGAGATGTATACCAAATTTTGTGAAATATACAATGAAGGCATGCAAACATTCATACCATGTAAAAAAAGAAAAGGAAATGTAGAAAAGAAAAATGTAAGGAAACAGAAAAGATTTGTTAGATTCATAAATTTCATCCTTTTGCTCACATTCAATAATATAATTATATATATATATATATATATATATATATATATATATATATATATATATATATATATATATATATATATATATATATATATATATATATATATATATATATATATATATATATATATATATATATATATATATATATATATATATATATATATATATATATATATATATAATGAAACTAACTATTTGGTCAAAAATACCAATATGAATTGAAAGACAAGCAGATATTAGAATTTTGTATTACAGGATATTTAATTTGGACAAACCAATTATTTTTTTAACAGCAAAGTAAATACTGTACGAGACCTAACCTAACCTAACCTCTCATAGCAATCCTAGGTCTAATACACTTTATCTTAGGCCTAATATAGTACATATACAGTGGTACCTCCATTTACAATTTTTTTTATTATTTATATATACTGTACAAGAGTTGTTACATTCTTGTACAGCCACTAGTACATGTAGCATTTCCGGCAATTTATCTACTTCCCAGAGACGGGTCATATCTCAAAATGAATTTTCCCATAAGAAATAATGTAAATTGAATTAGTCCGTTCCACACTCCCAAAAATATTAACTTCAAAATACATTTCCTACATAATACACATTATAATACAGTATATCATTTGTACTATAGTATGTACAAGTTATAGCTTACCTTTATTGATGACTCCTGTTGGCACATGGAAGACAGTGAAGAGGGGAAGAGAGGTGTTAGTGTTTGGAAGGAGAGTCCCCTTTCATTATAACATCAGGCAGTGATGATTTTTCTGGGGTACTCTCTCTCCTATAGTTTGCAGGCATACTATTAGGATCTGGTTGTGGCTCACTGCTTGATTGTCTTACTAAGAATCTGTCTAAAGACATTTGTTTTTCTCTTCATAACACTTGTCTGTAGTGAGACATCACATTGTCATTCAAAAGGTCAATGCAACGGTCTACTACAGCTTTATCTGGGTGAGTTTTTTCAACAAATCTTTGCAGTTCTTCCCATAATTCACACATTTTCTTAATGAGGAAGGGACATCCTCTACTGCATCTACTTACAACTACAGTAATTTCTTTGGTTGAACCTTACACCTGACTTTCTTGGGGTCCATGGCATGATATATAATAATTACTTTTATGTTCAAAAAATAAAAAAAAATGCAGAAATTCTTAACAAAGAATTCAAGCGCGATTGTTACTAGGCGAGAAACACTGGTAAACTGAAGCGTGCCATGCTCTCGGTCGACCCCATATGTGTACCAACAAAGTCACAAGTCGAAGCAAAGGTTGTAAGTCGAGTCGAATTTTCCGATGAAATTGGGGTCGTAACTCAAAAAAATTGTAAGTAAGGGCATTCGTAAGTCGAGTTTCCACTGTATTTGCTTTACTAGGCCTAGGAATATTTTAGTTTTTTTCCAGATTATATAAAATAGTACAAAATTCTACTATCTGCTGGGCAATCACGTCATATTGGTACTTTCGACCTAATATTTACAGAAAGTACTATCATTTCAGGAGGATGGGTTGATACCTTAACCCATCCTCCTGTTTAGATAGTACATTTTGTAACTATGTGGACGATCGTTCATATATAGAAGTAATGGACAATTAGATAGAATTTAGTACTGTATTTAACTTCATAGAGAAAAAAAAATAGCTAAAAACCAAAGTACAGTATTCCTAGTTATAGTATACCACATATACTGTATGTAATATATTAGGCCTCAGATAGTATGAATTAGGCCTATGATGGTTAGGTTAGGTTTTCTTCGCAACATGAGTACAAAACCTTTTTCGGGTTGTCCAAATTCAAGAATACCAATTTCTACTTTATAAATGCCCTTTATGTCAATATATGTACTATGGACCTCATTGTTGCAACAAGTACCACCTAAACAAGAGGATGGTCTGCACACATGCACACACCTTTTT